TGTTGCCATATTGGTCAAAAACTCCCTTCCTTTTTCTTCTTTTTCGCTTCCTGTATATAGCGGCATTAATGCAGCTGCTATAATTATAAATGGTATCTGTTTTGTTACTTTATATATTCCTGATCCTACATGCCAAATATATTCACAACTAGAACAATTATTTTCAATTTTACCTAAACCTTTTCTCGTAATGGGCGATTTTAATGCTCAACACCAATCGTGGGGCAGTTCTACTTCTAATTTTTATGGTGGAAAACTCCTGACGATAATTGACACTTACAACTTATGTATTATTAACTCAGATGTACCAACACGTAGAACTGCACCGAATGAAGGGTTTAGTGCTCCTGACATTTCAATATGTTCTTCTGATTTAGCTTCTTCACTGTCGTGGTATCCTCATTCCTCTACTTTCGGAAGCGATCACTTTCCCCTCATTCTTTCTTTTCCAATTTCCATTCCCTCAAGTCGAAAGAGTGGTCCTCGGCTTAAATATAATTTATCAAATGTAGACTGGAATATTTACAAACAATATTTAGATAATAAAATATCGGAGTTACCTATTGTTTACCATGGAAATGAACATCAATGTTGTAATGACTTGATGATAAATATGAAGGAGGTTGCTGATTTATTATTTCCTGTTAAAAATAGTGCTTCAGGGAAAATTCCCTCGCCACCTTGGTGGGACAAAGATTGTACGGAAGCAATTAAAAATCGTAAAGAGGCTGAAAAAAATTATAATAATTACATGACACCAGAAAATTTTGAAATTTACACCGCAGTTTCACGTTCTACTCGAAAACTACTGAAAAAAAAGAAATTAGAAGGCTGGAGAAGATTTTGTTCTTCTATCTGTCCAGAAGTTAATTCATCAGTCGTTTGGAATAATATTAAAAGATTCAGATCTGCCTTTAGTGATCATACATCACGTTCTGCACTCGATTTAACTTTAGCGAATAAATTTTTAGATCGCCTTGCTCCTAGTTATGTGCCGGAATGCCTTTACAATATTTCTCTATCCATCTCTGACGAATTATTCGAACTTGACTCTCCTTTTACTCTAGTAGAACTTAAAGGTGTTCTAGCTTCTATTAAAGACTCTGCACCGGGAGAAGACGGTATACCGTATTCCTTTTTTAAAAATGCTAGCGATGCGACATTAATTTACTTTTTAAATATAATTAATTCCATAATTATTTCGGGAAATATACCTACTTCATGGAAGTCTCAGATTATTATACCATTTCTAAAGCCTCATAAACCACCTTCTGAACCATCTTCATACCGTCCTGTTGCACTTTCCTCTGTCTTACTAAAGCTAGCTGAACATTTAGTGAAAAACCGTCTAGAATGGTTTTTAGAAAGTAATAACTTACTATCCCCGAACCAGTTTGGTTTTAGGAAAGGTAAGAGCACCTTAGATAATGTGAGCATTCTTATTTCAGATATTCATATAGCTTTCTCACAAAATTTGTCAATCCTCTCAGCCTTTTTAGATATAAATTCTGCCTATGATAATGTAATAATTTCTATTTTAAAAACTAAATTACAAGCTCTAAATGTACCGGTAATGCTTTCTAATTTCATTATTAATATTTTATCAGAAAGAACAATATATATGAATTTAGATGAAGATACCAAATTATCTAGAACAGTATGGAAAGGCCTTCCACAAGGATCTGTTCTCAGTCCAATCTTATTTAACATATACACATACGATCTAGAATTATTCCTTGATAAATCCGTCAAAATTTTACAATATGCTGATGATCTTTTATTATATTTTATTGCGAAGTCCATAGAATCTGCTTCTGCCAAATTATCTGATTCATTAGATTTGTTAAAAACGTGGTTAGATGCAAATGGTCTTAATCTTTCTGTAACCAAGAGTAGTGTAGTTTTGTTTTCAAGAATGAGATCACCGCAACAAATTAAGGTGCTTTATGATAACTCATACATTCCTATAAAGACTGAAATTAAATTTTTAGGTATCGTGCTAGATAATAAATTAACAGGTCTGTCCCACTGTAATTATATTTCTACGAAATGTGAGCGTAACCTCAACATTCTTAGGTGCCTTGCTGGAGTTTGGTGGGGAGCACATCCCGTTTCACTAAAACTTGCTTATAATGGTCTTATAAGGAGTGTCATTGATTATGGAACTTTTTTGTTAGCTCCAGGAAGTTCATTTGCTTTTAAGAAATTGGATTTAATTCAATCAAAGGCCTTGAGGATTATCTCTGGAGCAATGAAATCAAGTCCAATCAATGCTTTACAGCTCGAAGTCGGTGATCCACCTTTGGTTTTAAGAAGACAATATCTATCTGATCGCTTCTTTTTTCGTTGTTTACAATTATCTGATCATCCGCTTATTCAAAAGTTATCTCAACTACATATCTTTATTTCGTCTTCATCTTATTGGAAACATAAAAAACCTCCATGTTTAATACAAAGTTATGAAAAATATAAATCCATAGAATCTCCCACTTTTACATCGTCCTGTTTTCCCATTTATAAATGCTCATATCAATCTTTAGTTTTATCTCCTAATATTAAATATGATTTTGGGTTATTAAAAAATGATTCAGAATTGAATGCCAAATTTATGTTTATAACTGACATTGAATGGAATGAATGGCACTACATCTTTACTGATGCATCAAAACCAGACAATAGCGCTTGTGTAGGTGTGGGTGTGTTTCATTCACAATTTAATATCGTTCAAAAAATTAAACTTCCACCGGAGTCTTCAGTTTTTACCGGGGAATGTTATGGTATTTTAAAAGCTGTAGAATATATACTTTTAATGAAATTACATAAGGCAATAGTTTTCACTGACTCTATGAGCTCTTTGCAAGCTCTAGCCAAATATCCGTTTAAATCAAAACCAGTTTATCCCATTATTTGTGACATAAGACAAAGTCTTTATCTTTGCATGTTGAGAGGTTATTCCGTTTCTTTTGCCTGGTTACCAGGACACAGTGGTATTAGCGGCAATGACAAAGCTGACCTTATTGCAAGAGAGGCTGTAACTTGTGGTGATATGTATCCGTATCATAATTACTGTAGTGACCTAGCTTGTCTCCCAAAAATATATTTAAGGTATGCCTGGAAGGAATATTGGGAAAAAACAAGTACAATAAAAGGAAGATTTTATCGCCTTATACAACCCGATATTCCTTTCAAACCATGGTTTTGTAAATTAAAGCTTGGAAAGACCGCAACAACTATTATAACTCGTATGCGTCTAGGTCACGTATGCACACCTTCTCATTTATACAAGCTTGGTATTGTACAAAGTTCGTCGTGTAATTGCGGTGCTGAAGTGGCGGACTTGAATCATATATTCTTCTCATGTTCTAAATTTGACCACACCTCCCTTTTTAATCATCTCCGATCCATCCGTGTTCCATTCCCAACTTCTATTCTTACTCTACTTTCTTCCAATGATCCTATTATCTATAAAATACTATCTTCATATATATATGATAACAATATTAAGATTTAGTTATATTACATGAATACATTTATAGTTGCATCAATTGCTTTTCCTATATATTTATAAGTATATTCTCATATGTACAAGTATATGTTTCATATCCTATAAATATCCTAGACCTAATCCTTATCCTTTCTAAATTCGTTTGTGTTAGGTATTTTTATTACTATTATCGTTTCCCCGTTTTGTTCTTGGCAAAATACCCTAATATCGGGGTGAACGCCACAAAAAAAGAAAAAAAAAAAAAAAATAATAAATAAAAAAATAAAAAAAATAAAGAAATGAATAAAAGTAACATGGCTAACAAATCAATGAATTAAATATAACAATTGTTCTACGTGTACGAGTATTAAATTGAATTTCCTAAGCTAATTTGTAAATGTCTTCTTAAAAATTTTAATCCATGAAACATTCTGCATTATAACATTGTTTGCTATCTCTTATATTTTAAAGAGTTTATCGTTGGCTTGTGCGACATCTCATTTGTAAATATAAACATTTACACAAATGATCTGACGTCAATCCGCGGCCTAACGACATATGGTTTAGTAGACATATTTATTGAGTAATCAGCACGCGCTCACTGATTGATAGTTCAGCCATCAGAGTCCATATTTTTACACGACAGTAAAAGATAAAAAAGAGTAATATTTTTCGATGCATGACATGGATCTTGATGCAACATAATACACATTTTAGATGTAATGATGATAAACGATCCAAGTGTCACTATATATATATATAAATATTAAATGTGCTATATTTTTTCTACTGTCTATTACTATTAGAAAAGTTAATTTGTTAATAGCACAAATAAATTTCATCGAAAATAACATCTTTATATCTTTCATAGAATTTTAATAGAAAAAGAAATTTTGACGATGTCCAATTAGGTTCTTTTAAGCTTATATTGGTACAAATAATATATTAGGACAATATCTAGGATTAAAAATTTTAACCCTTCTTTGCATGTTTTTTTTTTATTTGTGAAATAAATCAGGTGATATAATTCATATTCACAATTAAAGGACAAATGTTTAAAAAATAAAGTTGACAGCAATGGTTTTTTTTTTTGCAAAGGACATTCAAAAGGTATCCAGACACGATCAACTTAAAGTAAAATTCTTTTATATAATTTTTGGGCATCCAATATTATGATGGAAATTTCCACCAGTATGCAAAGAAGGGTTAAATCCCCGTCTGGGTGAAGCCCTAGTTGATAAATTATAAATGGGCTATTAGTTAGTTTTAATTGTAGATACTCTAAGATAGACTTACTTACTGAATGCAGTAAATAACCAATAATACGAAGGTGAAGTTTTGACTATAAATACACGTCATTATTTGTATAGACAATGAACTAACAATGACGTCATTTTAAAGTCTCAAACATTACCTGCAAATGACTTCCGTAATCTATTTATCTTAAGAATTTAAGTCTGGCTTTATACTTTCTTGTCTGTTGCTTTTTTTAAAACGCTCTATTTCGTTGACATAGGTTGGTATCGAAGGCATCACTTACGCGGGTAACCATGGGTTGGAGATTCTGCATCCGGATGGTAGCAAGTTTGTACACCCCATGCCTATGGAACTCCAAGACAAAGTCGTTGAACTTTTGAAATCCCTACAAGAACAGGTGAGATTCTTTTACATTTTTTTATAATCACCCTGAATAGCAAACGAACTGACGAAGATATTTATCTAACAATAGAAACAACTTGCCACAGAATTAATAAAAATCTTAAAACTCTGAATAAAAATAATAATAAACAGTAATGAGGCACCAATAACTAATTGATGTAAATTGTGTTACTGAAATAAATGGCGTTATTTAATTTATAAATTTATTTAGCTTCAATTCATGAAGGATATACAATTTCAGGTATGCAAAGACGGCGCGTGGGTGGAAAACAAGGGAGCTCTGCTGACATTCCACTACCGGGAGACGCCGTTAGCCAAGCGGCCCGCGCTCGAAGCACAAGCGCGCAAGCTCATCGCAGCCGCCGGATTTACACCTGCGCCCGCGCATTGTGCACTCGAGGCACGTCCGCCCGTACAGTGGGATAAAGGTAAGTAAACCATCATATTACAGTTTCGTGGATGTTTTTTATAATCTATGTAATCTTCTTTTCATTTAGGAGTTTCCTCTTGTCGGTGCAATTAATTCATGCATCTTCTTGCAGCCAGTTATTACATGCTATAGCCATATACGACATGACACCTAGTGTTTCTTTTATCTGCCCCATGTAGTTATTTCTCGGTCTTCCTCTTCCTCTTTTGCTATCTATTTTTTCTTCTACTATGCTCTTTAAAAAATCGTCATGTCGTATAAGATGGCCCAGCATTTTGCCTCTTCTATTCTCTATTTATGTAATACTAAGTGTAAAATACTCTTTCACATAATATTTTAATGTTGACAGGTCGTGCGTCTATTTACATCCTAAGGACTGCCTTCGGTTTGGACTGGAGTGAAAGAATCAGAGTTATTTATGCTGGGGATGACGTTACCGACGAAGATGCTATGTTGGTAAGTAACAGTCATTCGAACATAAAGATGACTCACACTTAGCGAGTCCTCTAATAACTATCTAAGAATATTCTGACCAAGGAATCAAAATCGCTGCACTCCTTTAAATTGATGACAGTAAGGTTGAAGATACGTGTTATGTAATGGGCAAGGCTCCTAATGCATATCAGGTACGCTTTGTATCCCCGTAATGTTGCGAGAAACTCAACGTTATAACCTCTACCGACTATCATGTTTTCACCGGAAACTGAAGTATTAATTAATATCAGATCATTAAGATTTATAATGAACTAGTCTTAGATTATATAGACAGAATGCCTCCATACAAATGCTTCGAGAAAAGCGGGTCAGCTTTTTCATACAATTTTGCGTGATAAATAGTTATGAGTGACTCCTTTATAACTTCTATATTTATTTTGTCTTGTAATTTCTGCATCTTTTTAATGTGCAAAAACACATTTTATTTATTAAATAATACGTTAAGATACGTTTTATGCGTAAGTATATAGAACACTGATAAGAAAGCGAGTCAGTTAAATTGACACTTAGCTGACAAAAAGTTGACCTGTTTTTGAGAATCGATGCGCTATCTATATAATTTAAAGAACTAGATATAGATATATAAGATATAGAATAATGTCTGATTTGTGAATAATTATAATGAGCCTATTAAAGTGGAGAACAGAAAGCGATATTAAATATTAAAATACGTATAATAAGCAGAATAAAATGTTACAATCAACAAGATGCTTAGCCACGAATATTGTCATCGATAGACACAGATAATTAGGTCGTATATCTACAACTCATACTCCTAACAGAGCCTAATTGTACTTTTTTTATTTAGTAATATTTTTCTTCCAGGCACTAAAAGGCATGGCCGCGACATTCCGCATTGCATCATCAAACATCATCAAGACATCAGCGGAGCGCAGGCTTTCATCGACCGATTCTGTGCTAGCGATGCTCAAATGGGTAGAACGACATTTCTCGAGGCGCAAACCGCGCGCTAATTCTCTCACATACAAAACCGCTAGGAAGGCCCGCGACACTCTACATATGCAGATGTCATACCATCTACCGACCAAAACCTCACCAAAGCAATCCCCACCGCGCTCGCCGGACGTAATATCCGATAAGTCATCCAGTGGGTCAGAATCTAGCTAATTTGTTAGGTACATACAAGGAGAGACTAATAAAAACGCAGCAAAATGTATAAGTCTGTCTGATTGTACCATAGATGATAAACAGAATTACTTTGTAATAATCCATCCTCTTGCAAACATTCATACATATATTACGCGGAGGTACACGGGTTATGTATGTGATCTTTAAAATCAATGGAAAATATAACCAAACACGTCCAATACAATTTAGTCTTGAAAACATATCAAATATAACAATATGTATTGCAATATGATATGCAGCAATTTTGGTCATACTACGAGTTCATATAATATTAAACAGTGCATAATATTTTTACTCTTTCAATTGTTTTTTTTTTTTTTTTTTTGAATGATAGACATTATTTTATATAATCGCATATAGTGTTTACAGTATACTGTTAAGCACCATATATGTAGTAAATGAAATGATATTCTAAACTTTATAATGGAATTTTACACGTCTTGTAGTCCTCAATTTACGAATATGGTAACATAATAAAACCAAATATTCCCTTTTGGGAATACTCGTAATATACACCTAAATATATTTTTTAAATTTATATCTTAGTATTATGCATTTACATTAACCAGATAATATAAAATAAATATATGAAAATGACGTCAAAATATCTGTCCGTGAAAATGGTGCAACCATTTCTGATAATTGAATACAACTTCTTATATTTGTGACATTACTTAGTTTTTTTTTATAACAAACTATATACTACCTAACATTATCATACTATATACCTAGTTGTTAATGTTTTGTGTCAATCGATTTACCCTTGGTCGGGGTATTGACAGTCAAGTCTGTAAACATCAAAGGTAACCTTCCGACATTTGCCGGCATGGGTGCCAGAACACCGATCGTTTAGGCTTTAGGGAATCTCTTTAAAATACGTGATATCCTTGTATTTAAGTATAGCATGCATTGGAATATATCTATGTGATAGTATAGTACAATGTACTTGTTAATAGTTAGTAGGCGAAGCCATATTTGTGATGATTTAAAATTACCATAAACTTTACCAATACATGTGTAATAAACTCATAAAGACTTGTAGACAATTGTAACCCAATATAGAATAAAAAAAAACTATTTGTATATTTATATTACGTAATTTAAATATTATGGCAGCTATATTGAATCTTTTTAAAGCTGAATTCTAAATTTAAAATATAAATCCCGGAATTTTAATAAAGGAAACTAAAAGATTAAAAACCGATACGTAACGTAACATATTACTCAAATACCATGCAGTATAACATTTCACTAAAACGAAATACAATTCTAAATGTAATACCACGGTTACGAAGCCCTTTGCCATTCTCTAAGTATTTATAATCTTTGATATTAATATGAGATTATTGTTTTAAAAAACTAAATTGTTATGTCGGTATTTAGAATTCTTTGAAAATTATTAACCTTACAAAAGGACTCGAAGCTGCATTCCATAGTTCTACAGGTCGAGTGCCTTTCCCACTATGATTATGGCTATAGGTATAATCATAAATATTTCGTATGTAAATTCCAATATGTACGAGTTATGAGCACTCATACCAAGTGAAGGATCATGTCCTCTGTATTATATATTATTATTATAAAATAATATCAAATTGGTTCGTTGGGTTTATTTAAAGAGAAATTTACCCGAAAGTGTATTTTTTTCCTAAATTCCCTCCAATAGTAAAAAAAAATTGTTATCGAAACTATCCATTATATTGATAGTACTGATTGGTTTCATAATGTGCACAAAATGAATAAATAGTATGAAATAAACAAATCAGAAAGTAATATTGGTCAGAATCAACATTTTCTATTGTAGATCTCATACAAATATTATAAGTATTTATACATAAATTTATGGTTTCTTCATCGTTGATCCAAATAAAACCAACAGATTATTATTGCCTAGATATTAATTTTACATTATACCTATGACCAATAATCAGAATAAATAGTACATTACTGCAGCAGCCAGCAACTAAGGCATTGATGAACAAACGTGCAAATGTGGGCTGAGACGTAGCCGAGGCACACATACGTGAGTTCATCAATGCCTAGTTGTGGCCAAGGCTTGTATAGTACTTTTCTCAAACAATGCGCGGAAATCATAAACACAATTTTACTTTTTAAGTTCAATGACGAATAACGAACAATAATAATTTTTCACGCGCCATAATATTCCTTTGTTTTTTTTTTTTTGTTTTCAATAAACAGCTTTCTATTTGCAAGCCAGTTCGAAATTTAAATAAAACCTTTTATTAGTTACCTCCTTGGTAGCCATGTTTTGAAGTAAAAGGTCATTCCATTTTTAAATTACAGGACAGATATGAGTTTACATAGTAATTTATCTGGCGGCAAAACACGACAGCATAGTAATTTATCTGGCCGCAAAACACGACAGATATGGATTTTCATACAACTTTTGCCGGCCGCTGCCCGCATGTATCTGGCCAGTACGGCAATTTTGTTTTATCTCGAAGAAGATTGTCAAAATAATGCTCATATTTCCAAGCATGTTTGAGAAACAATATATTGTAATTATTTTATACGTAACATTCTATAACATACGACGTATGTGTAATGTGCAAACTTTTCATTATCTTTGTGTATAAGAATTCAATGTATCGATGAAAAAAAAATATTAAAAATCTCGTTTATTTGTGTGATTATAATTTCCAAATCAATGTATGATTAAGTAGAGTTATTAATTAAATTAATATCGAATCGATGTTTGGGAGAACGTGAACTAGTCTAGTTGGTTGCTATTGATACTATACAAATACATATTATGCACTGATACGCCCTCGAATTGCTATATACTTACTGTATTTTTAGATACATATTTAATATTTTTAAAAGATTTAAATAAAACAATGCAAATAGACGGAAAATAGTCTTTTAATTAATAGTATATACAAAATGCATCCTTCATTGCCTTCACGTGCCCAGCTCCGTTGTCCCCGTGCAGTATCGCTATTGTCCCCAATTGACCTCACCACATGGGGACAGCGGGGGGATATTGTCGTACATTCTATAAATTCATTATTTAAATCTATCTTTAAAATTCACTAAAATTAGAGATACTAAATATAAAATGACGCTAGCGGAAAGTTAATACTTATAGAGAATATTTAAAGCATAATTGCTGTAAATAATCTCTAGAATGAATGAATTTTAGAGATATAAGAGAAACGATCCAAAATATTAGGAACGAGTCCCCAGCACCAATAACAATGAGACATTATTTAATATTGACATAATCGTTGACAATTAAGTCTTTTTACTCATGTCTATAGGCGATGGTTACCACTTTCCATCAGGTGGGCCGTCAGCTTGTTGCCATTCTAAGTTGTATAAAAAAAAGGAAGCTTTAAGAGGTAATTAAAAAAATTGTTAGGAACTTCCCTGAATAATTTTAGATAATAAATGGCAATCATAAAAAGAGCTTTTCAACGACATGCGCTCAGCTGTTATTGGTTATTGGGTCCTTGTATTGCATTTTTATAAATAATGACTTTAAGAATTGACACCATCTATCCCCACCACAATAATTATCATCAACAGTTTTATACAAATGTGGAGACAAGCAGAAGTAGTCACATAATTCGGAATAATATATTACAAGTTTGGAATGTTCCAATTTCACCAAAACAGTAACACGAGATATCAAATAAATAGGAATAAAAATTACTGATTATAATTTATATATATATTTTTTATACTTGGCATAATTAGTAATTTAAAATAAAATAGCCAAAAAAATACAATCAATACAAAAACTTTTTTTTTTTTAGTTATTAGTTTAAAACACTAATTTTGATAAAAATTAATGCCAAGATTGTCTACTATTTATGCCAAGTATGCAACATGGCAACATCGGCAATTTAAAAAGGGATGTCATTGTTTAAAGTGACTTAAGAATGACGCCTTTTATGTATTAGACATTACCATACTAGTTCGAAAAATAAATCATACACATTCGAACAAGGAATACTTACAGTCAACTTTACAAACAGCCTTAACTAACATCTATTCACAAAATTACACTAAAAAGTTCGTATCACAATAATAAATACAATGACTATATTGTCCATGTGTGCGTGTTCTCTACACGTTGCTGTGTGAAACGACCAACCACGATAGGATGAAGTAGAACAGGCATATGGGGTACACAGCGAGCGCCTTTTTTCCTGGAGGCTGACTATCCCCGAGAAATTTGGTTGCAGCTGAAACAACAATATAAACTATACAGGAGGTTGACTTTTGAATGCATTTAGATTTTCTTTAATAGATGATATACACTGGCGTGATGGTATACACTAGCGGGGCACCAGTGAAGGATGACAGGTGAGAATGAAAAGGCAGGTCTTTTTTCTCAATGAGTTGAAATGGATTGTTAATCCCACCTGCGCTATAGGTATACACTGGTGAGGCACCAATGAGAAATGATAGGTGAGGATGAAGCAGGAGAGCCTACCGTGACGAATCTAAAAATAAATCAATCACGATGGTTTCATTTCGATCTGACAGGGTATATTGCTAGCAATGAAGCTACTATTCTTCATTACTAACAATCCCTTTTCCCTCTGAAAAGGCAGGTCACTTAGACCAACGCGATGAATACACCCGGGATTAAACACGATGGTTTTTAGGGAGAACCACATGGAGGTCGACCTGACAGGGTATACTGCTAGCAATGGGACTGGTAATTCGCGTCACTAACAATCCCTTCCCCCCACGCATTCAGATTGGGATTAAATCAAAATCACATCTATGTCTGTATCTGAACAGATGTATAACATTTACTTTAGGTTAATTTGGTATGAACATTCAAATTCTAATAATTTTTATTCAAACACACTTGTTTACAAGCACTTTTAAATCTTTTTTTTTTTAAATCTATTGCAGGGTTCAGTAAGTTGTTATCTGTTGATCTGCTGATGCATCACCATAATGGATACTATCATTACTGGTACATTACTACTATGATCACATTTCTTTCAATATAATTTTTAAATACATTTAAAAAGAAGTAATGCAAGAGCAGAAAACCTCTATATTATTTGCTTTTTTATTGGAATGGTAACCCTGCCTGCGCAGGGCAGATTGCTAGTAATGGAGATTAGCAGCCCCATTGCTAGCAATATAATCTATCAAGTCAACCTCCTCGCACCCCCCTCCCGCCACCTGGAGACCATCCTACTTAATTCAAAATGAATTCATCACAATAGGCTAACTGAACAGATTTTTCATCCTCACTTACTATTCTTCACTGGTACTCCACTAGCGAATACTGTTAACGAAGGCGGAATTACCATTTCATTATCATCCATTTAAAAAAAATACTCGTGAGGTCCAAGACATGAACTAATTAAATAGTATTTAAGATATTTACTAACCAAATGTGGCCCAAACAAATCCGGTCATTGATATGATCAACCTCAGGAAGAACAGAAAGGTAGTCTGTGTAGCGAAGAGTATCAAACGGCAGACGACCAGCGCCAGCGCTACCGGAAATAAACAGTAGCCCAGTACACACACTGACTGGAAGAATGATCTGGAAAAGAACAAAGCAATTGATTCTTATGCACATTTTTTTTAGAATGATAATCCCATCTGCTCGAGGCAGGGGTAAGGAATTATTAGTGCGGACTACAAATCCCATTGCTAGCAATATACCCTGTCAGGTCGACCTCCATATGGTCTCCCCTGGAAACCATCGTGCTAAATCCCAGGTGTATTCGTCACAATGGGCTAACTGACATGCCTTTTCATCCTCACCTACCATCTCTCTCCTGTGCCCCGCCAGTGTATACCGTTAGCGCGGGCGAGGTTACCATTCTATTTTCACCCATTTGTTTATTAAAAAAAAAACCTATCTGCGCTATAAGCATGCGCTGACGAGATACCAGGAAAGAATGGTAAGGATGAAGTTAGGTCAGTTGGTCCTTTGTGAGGAATTTCCAGGAATTATCGATGTAACAAGGGGAACACGTAGAAATCTATCTGACAGGTTACATTGCTAATGATACCACTACTTCCGAAATAAAGTTTGCCTATAATTGCCATGCTTGACAGGCGAATTGGCAATCACAGGTACGCTTTGGAGATGTTTTAAGAGGAACGCGGTTGCCCATCCACCGCCCTCCAATAATTGCCTCTTACGCCACCCACTGGAAAGGAAGGGATGGTCTTTTCTATTCCGGGACCACACAGGAATTGAGAGACTACACTGTCTAAATAGAGGAAAAAAAGAGCCAGACTTCTTTACAAATAGTGCACTGTCACATGTCAAGCTTTCGCAGTTTGAGCACCGAATGGTTAACACTAAGCTTCGAGTAGCAATCTATTGTCTAAAATTCCTCGATTAGAAGTGAAACGCGTGTCGGAAAAAGTGTGTGGACTGAATAGCGGTCAAAGATTGATGGCTAATATGGAAGGTTGTAGAACTTGTGGTAATAATAATTGTAATCAATCTTGAAATTGACAGTTGCAGGCATACTAATGGTAGTGGAACAAAAGAATTTTAATCAACCAACCCATGATATGGACTTCCGCGAAACAGCTAGTTCAGTAAAATCTTTATATGTTAATGAATGAAATCTACATGACAGTATCATAGGTAGAGGGGGAAAAGGATTGTTAGTAATGGAGATTGAGAATCTTATTGCTAGCAATATACCCAACCAGGTAGACCTCCTCGCGGTTCTCCCTGGAAACTATCATGGTTAATTCCTGATGAATTCATCATGATGGGCTAACTGGCCTGTTTTCATTTTCATCTATCGCCCTTCACTGGTGCTCCGCCAGCGTATCCCGTTAGCGCAGGCGGGGTTACCATACCATTTTCACCCATCAAAAAAAACAAGTATCATAGGTAAATACGAATATTTTAAATGGCGCAAAAAGCTACATAGTTTAGGAAAACATTTCCTAATATGAACAAGTCAACTCAGAAATATACAATACAAACTAGTAATTTTTATCAAAAGACTGCACTCAAAAATTTACTGTGGATTCTTAGCCTATCTGGTAACTTACATGTTGCCACCTAATAGTTTAGAATTGATAGTGACAATAGCTGCTCCTATCCACACTAGGACAAATACTTCAGCAAATTCTGGTCCACCATCATTCGAGTTGTCTGCTCTCTGTGTCGACCCTTGGAGGATGGTCGCCATCAGTGTACATAATAATAACGGTCCCCATAAATCCCCTGCAAAAATATAAATTATAGGATAGAATGAAAATCATCTTTATTTAAATAGATTTATTTAATAATCATCATCACCATGTCAGCCCTTAACTGTCCACTGTTAAACATAAGCCACCCCCTTGGGGGGTTTTGCCAGTAGTGGCAACTTGATAGGAAGATTGGCGGCCGATTAAGAGTGACGCTGCTGCCCATCCCTCGCCCTCCTTTAGTCACCTCTTACGACACTCAAGGGAAAGAAAGAAGTGCCCTATTCTATGCCAGGACCACAGTTGTTTAATAATAATCTCTTTTAAATTGTTACTTTTTATGACTCTACCACTAGGTTTGGAATGTAGTTGTTTAAAATACACCCATAAGAAATTTAGTAGTGACTACTTTTAAAAATTATTTAATAGTAAGTAATTTTAACAAAGTTGCACTAGCTCCACATCTAAAAGATATTTAAAAAAACAATAATACATTAATATCATACATTAGATTCTCGTAGTTGGGAAAGAATGATGAAAAACTTACATTCTTTTAATAAACTAGTCTTTTCTCTGGGTATTAGGACATGGTAAAACTTATTTCCGACTGCTCTGAGATCACGCATCTGAAATTAAAAACAGTAAATATTAAAATATACATAGTTATTTCTTTGTACACTATTAAAAAAATGTTTTATCATGAAATTTATATATAAACAACATTATCTAAAAGTGAACATAATATTGATGTTATGTTATTAAAAGTATATTTTTAATTTATTAAACAAGTATTGATAAATCTTGAAATTTCGAATGGTAAGAAAGTAAGTGATTCAATTCAAAAACAGAATAGGTGAACGTTAAAGAGAATAATAAAGAATACTACAATACTTGGATACTGTATAGAAAATTATAGAAAAATAGACTAGTGGTTTTATTTAGCATTAGTTTAGGAGCCAGCTCTACAAGAGACTGATTTTATGTAAATTTTTTTAAATAAAAAATCTATCATAAACAACTATAATAAAGCTTAAATATATCAAAACAACTTTTATATGACTTACAAATGTCTCTTTGATAGGTTCATCGAGAGTGTTAAATTCCATTGCATCACCAGACGGGGCACCCTGAGAGGGTATATTCATTTCCCCTTCAACCACACCGACATCGCCAGCTGGATACATCTGGAAATAAGAATATTGAATAATTTTTATTCATTTATATATTTTATCAACTGAGTGAGCTTTACACTTTCCCAACATGCTCACCCAGGAAAACATCAGTACAGTAACATATGTAGGAATAAATTGAATTATATTAATTAGATTTAAATTACAACATAACAATAAAAGAAATAATATCTATATCTCTGAACACAAACAGTCTGTGGTCATCCAATGAAACTGCAATAAGGATAAGGATATCTTTAAAAAATTTATATATATATATATATATATATATATATATATATATATATATATATATATCGTTTATTATATATTTCATACACTTTATCATTACAATTACAATCTATATATTGGAAAGTATCTATAACATATACTTAGAAATAAGATAAAACAAGTGTATTTAGGCAATAGATGCCTACTGACGACCCTTTAGGTAAACTGTAAAACTAATCAATTGTAGTTTATGTTGTATTTGCTATGTATAAGCATGGTATAACTATGTAATAAATAACTAAATAAATAAATTAGTAAAAAGACATAACATCTTAGTTCTAAGGAAAACTGTCTAACATTACTTTCTACTCATTCCTAGATATATCCACAATATATGTAATAATGGACCTACTGTTGAGTTTTTTTATTCATCTGTCATCTCTCACAGTACCTCACCAACATATACCCATAAAGCAGAATAGGTTACCATTCTCACATAAAAAAGTTCTTTGATGAAAGAGATTTTTAGTAAAGGAAACTAACATTGCAGTATATTACTAGCAATGTGATTAGTGATTATGTTTTTTGCAAAACACACTTGAGTATTTTAGTACAAGATAAGATAATCTCTTTTATATTGGAGATTACATACAATTATAAACATAACACCTTAGTATTCAGGAGTGTTGTTTTTATTATAATAATGGAATAAGACAGTAAAATTAAATGGTAGGGAGGGATAATATCTTAGTCCTCAAAAATAGCAAAGTTACCATAGGAATATTTATTGTCTATAAGTAATAAATACCACTTTCCTTCACAATTTAAGGGAATAAATGAACAGTGTACAAAATATACAATTAAATCTTACCTATTTCGTAAAAATATTTATTAGTATTTACTAAAGATATTTAGTAAAAATAAATAATATCATAGTAAAAAATCTTAACCCCTTAACATCATATTGTTCCGCCTATGTATACATGAAATGAACCATTTCTCCACTAAAAAGTTAAAAAAATAGGTTGGTATCTAAAATACAAGTATCAAATAATGATCTCACTAAGTAAATACTACATTATACAGTTATCTTATAAGACTATAATATAAGTAATATTAAAAGTGCATCAACCGTTTCAATCATAACAGATTAATGTATTATGTAAATGGCGATCCTTTTTATATATCTAATGTCGCACTAAGTAGTAAGAAGTAAGATGTTACAAACTTTACATCTATTATACTTTAACAAATCGTCAGTTATCGAGAGCAAGAGTAAAATATCAACATTCCTACTTTAAATATATTTAAATGCTTGAGTTTATATTTTAAGGTTACTAAGTACCATTTACATCTTACACAGATTAAAATTGAAATTGAAAAAAAAGCAATTAAAACGAGACAGTAACTGAAAAATAGTTTATTTCAATACAATTTAATACAACGTACCCATATGATTCACAATTTTGTACGGCTATCTTAAATTTTACTATTACATTATACAATACTTACATCATATTTCGAATCGAAAGTGCTCATTTTTACAATATTTGTAATGATTTTCTCAAGTAATTAATCGAAGTAGTCACAGAAAATAATTAAAAAATTTCTTTACTTATCCTCATTATCCAAAGAAAACATACACGTCAAATTAATGATTGTTGTTTTATGAACGTCATTGGTGTCATTCCGTCATATTATTTCTCTGATGATTCAGTACACTGTACAAATTTCTAAGCCTCATAGATAAAGAACAGTACCGGCGATGCTAAAAATGCGTAATAGAAGAGTTTTTAACTATAACAAAAATTATATAGCTCATAGAACAAAGAAGGTGTAAAAATGTTTTACTGAAATCAAGCCACTTTATTATCTATGAAATTTCTAGAAGTTTCTTACTATTAACACAGATTGAGAATAATAATTTAAAATAGTATGTACTCTAAAGTAATGATTAAAACATAGAAACAATAATGGAATAAAAATAGACATTATCTTTTTACATGCATATATCTGTCACACCTATCTCCCGTTAAAATAGGTAGATACATCAAATGCATTAATTTATATCATAGAGTTAATATAACGTACTAAGTATGTACATTCAAATAGATCTCTTGCATTATCCATATTATTCACTTATCTTATCAAATACGCGCGCTAGTTATAGATATTTTTAACTGGGCATTTTTCAAAACGCAGTCTATTTTCTTTTTATTCTTTATTAATTTGCAAGAGAAAATAAAAATGTGCTTTTATTCTAAAAACTTTTTATTTATTTAATTTAAAAACTAAAAGATTTTACTCTACTACCTTTAAACAATAAATGTAGTAGACAGACTTAAAGATTTTATGCAAATCAAGTGAATAAATGAATATAAAATCAGAAAGCTTTTCAGTAATTATAACAAGAAATACAAACTTTCTACTGAATACTAGGCTGTATGGCTTAGTTCCTTTACCTCTCTCAATACGAATGAATTATTACTATTAAAGTCAAAATGAAGTTGTATACTTTACGTAAAAATTAAAATAATTACAATATTTAAAAGAATTACAAATTAAAAATAATCATATTGTACAAAGTGTTTATAAATACTTGCATTTAAAATAATCATAATTTATTTTTGGATTTGATTTTAGTCACTTGCTACTTTAGAAATATTTGGAAGGAAATTAACGATAAACAAAACCTATCATACCCGTACTTGAAAAAGTAAATTTATGTCTGCGTAATGCCCTTAAAAATCGTGTCATGAAAGTAATAATTAAAAGTAAGAAATTACAGATTTGCGGTTATGTTTTACTTTTACCTAGGTGTGTTTTATTGTGATGAATTTTTTTAATCATGACAGGCTGGACAGGAGTCGCAACTTGGCGCTGGGAAGCGAACGACGAGAACTGTGGCATATGCCGTATGCCCTTCGATAGTTGCTGTCCAGACTGTAAGTTGCCTGGCGACGATTGTCCGCTGGTGTGGGGCGCCTGCTCACACTGCTTCCATATCCATTGCATCGTTAAGTGGTTGCACTCACAACCTCAACAACAGTGTCCTATGTGTAGACAGGATTGGAAGTTCAATAACAAGTAAATAGGTAAGTACATACACAGATAATTATACTGAATGAAATTAATATCATTAATATCTTTTTAAGAAAGTGTTCTAGGTAGTAGTAAAACTGAATATTTTTCCCAAATATTCAGTTTTCCATGTATTAATAAATAAAAAAAAAATTAAGCTTCTCACACTAATATGGTGTGTCCAATTGTTATGTTAGTATGGAAGTCTAAAAATTGTAGTCATTATTATTTCAAAATTTCTGTCCTAATATATTTCATAGCATGAAAGAGTATCAATTTTACATATGGCCAATGATTTTGGTTTCACCCTGTTAATAACATATATGTTTATTAAGTATACATGTATTTATTAAATATACTCTGTGGATTATAGCATGTTGTATATGATACATCACTGAATCTGTAGAAGAATAATTACTAAAATGTAACTTCTGAATTCAATGATACATGATTATGAAAAATATCTATTATAAATTATTAAATTTATTTTGACTCCATAAGTTGCAATATAATTTTTTTGTGGTAAAAACTGCCTAAATGGCAGCTTTATATACACCTCACTACATGATATGATATTACCTTGAAATGCCCTTAAAATCGTGTATCATTTTGAAGTTATATTTATTGTTACATATTAATATTAGTATACACTTAAAATGAACTGTTTACTAACATCCAAAACTTTTCTCAACAGCTAACGACTTTCCGAACCCTGCAGTAGATTTTAAAATAAAGTTTTAAAAGCGCTTGTAGCTTTATAAGTCTATTTGAATAAAGATGATTTTAATATATTCTGTACTTTTTAAATTAGATGATGACTACTTAAGTATTTGAATAAATGTCTGATATAGCTGGATATAAATAAAGAAATACAAACAAATAATGAATGGTTCATTTATTAACATTAAATTTGTCCTAGAATATTATTTATAATGTTTTGTTAATTAGATATACTTCTGCTTATTGGAATATATGATGATTTATCACAAAATAGTTATCTAAATTTTAGGATGTAATGGAGTACTTCTATCTCTGTTCCACTCATATTTCTACTGATAAGCAGTATTAGATTCAAATACACTCTGTTTTGCATTTTAAGCAATATGACATTTACTGTAAATTCCTGATTAATATTTCACAATTAAATAATTAATTTACCTTTTTGTCTATCATCTGTTACTGGTACACACCTCACCATCATAAATCAATACTAAAAAAAGAATAAAATTATTTTTTATTCAGTAAAATTAATGACAAACATTTTTCAATAGGCATTTTTTATGATTCTGTGGTGGCACACTGTAGTAGAACATAACAAAAATGCCTTTGACTATCTTATTTAAAATTATAATCCTAAATATATTTTTATTAATACCAAATTGAAAATAAGAAATTTTGATTTTGAAGATGGTGATAATTGACAGGTAGTGATTTTTTACAATGGATAAATATTTCATACTTATATTGAGAAATGTTATAGAAATACTGTATATAAATAGTAGAAACACGTAATTAAAACAAATGTATCTATATTATTAACATAATTAATTACCTGAATTAAATTACCATTGTAGTGGACTCTGCTAATTGAGTCCTATTAAAAATATTGGATTCAAGTATAATAAATACTCTTATAATAGCAGCTATCCATGTCTAATGACTTGGTTACTGTTAAACAATAGGTCAGAGAGTGCTTTCAAAACGGCCAACAATGGCCGCGCCATGTCGCGTGCTCCATGGACCGGTAATCTGTATTGCATTCATTCACATAGTAAACAATCACTTTTACATCATTAAAAGTGTGGGTCAACACATTGTTCGGCTGTGCACTGTACGTAAACTGGAAGACATACACAACAGCCTGTTAGAACGACAATTTATAATATTAAGTAAGGGGACGGAGGTAAAGTTACGAAGGCGATACAGTGCAATGCGACAGACAAGTAATGTTGGCGGTGTAGCGGCGTTGATAGGCACCTTTAAGCAGTCATAGTCGCGCTCTCGCGGGTACGGCCGCGTCAGTCGGCATGCGTCACGCCCGCTCGCGAGTGTTGTGAATTACGCAGTGCTGTTGTAAACGCGCTCCTTATACTATAACGCTCCTCTTATAGTATCGTACGAGTGCTTCTTCGCTTAAAAATGCTGATGGTTCAGACTAATACACAACCTATGAAGAGCAATAAACTCAAAGGACCGCCACCTGTACCACCACGACCCAACCAAAGTGTGGTGGCAGAGGCTCTAGCCAAAACGAGGAAGGCCGTTGCCGAATCGAAGGCCAACCTGTCAAAGTCTCGCACTTTACCAAGACAAGAACAACAATGCAATTCGACGAAAGCCAAAACTTTGGACAGGAATACTAAAACTAGTAAACCAACCGTATCTCCTAAACAAAATGGTTTGGCGCGCGTTAAGTCATTCATTAGAGACGTTATTAGCGATAGAAGTTCCTCGTCGGACGAGAAAAAATCAAGTGGCCAAAACTCCAGAAGAAGTTCGAGTGACAGTAGCCCGATACCGACACCGGCATCAAACAAAAGGTCAAATGAATCATTAAATTCCAAAGCGGTAAAGACATGTAAACAAATCTTAGTACGATCACTTTCCACATCGAACAAGTTAGATCAGGACGCAAAATGTAAAGTTTCAAAATCGTCCAGTTTCGCCGAAAAAACATTACCTTTAAGGAAAGCACCTCCTCCTCCGCTGTCTCCCAAACCTAAATTAAAGCCAATGAAACCATTACCTGTACAGTTAAATGTGAATGATAGTCCTAAGCAGTCGCCGGAAATAAGTCCCTATTCTACACCAGTAGATGCGAAACCTCCACAAAGTCCGATTTCAGAAGCACCCTACGCTACAGTAGAAGAAGTTCAAGAATTCGATGACAGATTACGCAACAGCCCATCGAAACAAGTCAATAACCTCACTGATTCACAGGACGGTCTTAAATGTCCTAATCTCGATGAAAATATAAACAAAAATAACAACTCGTTGGAACGAAAAACATCTCGAGTCACGGAAATGTTAATTTCAGAGCTTCTTGCGAGTAGAAATACCAATAAAAATGAAGCTAACGCTGTTATAGATAAAGGAAAGGATTCTCAGAATCTCAGCAATGGTAATGATTCTCCGGAGATCATGAAAGATATGAATAACCATGAGATGTTGATATACGAATTGCAAACTATGCGTTCACAATCAAATGTGCCTGAAACGTTAGATTCAAAAGAATTAGAGATTAATGGTCATTGCGATTCAGAAGATTCAGAAAACAATTATGCGATGTCTTCAGTAACTAGTGGAAATATGGAAACAGATGACGGATATGATCAAGCATATGCTTACATATTAGACGATGACCTAAAATCTAGGTGGGTGTAAAATAATATTTAAGACGCGTATATTCATTATTTTTTATTTTAATTATTTTGTAGAACAGCTATTTCTAATGTTATTAGTACATCGTCCGGCATTTCATGCTTAAAGTTCATCTAACTGCTTTTAACCCGGTTAAACAGTTTGTCCTGCTTGTGGATGTAAATGTGGTAATTTTTAGGTCGATTGAACAGTATTTTCTATTACTTATTGTAATGTTATAAGATGAGCTTAATCATGTAAAATCAAACATTATTTATGAAACAACGTCGTGAACTATAAATAAACTATAAACATATTTGTTTTTTATGACTTCGAAGGGCAATTTATAATTTTAATGGAAAATTATAATATGAATAACGTTGCATTCACTTAAGATGTAAAATTTTTATATCTTAAGTGTATGCAACGTTGTTATGATAAGATATTTAATCTAAAAATAATTTAGTCGGTTATAAGACGCTTAATAATTTGATATACATGCAACATAAGTTCTTAATTCCTTTGATTTAAGAACTTATGTTGCATGAATATCTTGATGCAAATGTACACACACACCTTATTAAGTGTAAAACTATGCTATTTTCCATACCTGTGACAATTCTTAAGATCATACATACATGTCAACCAAAATCTGGCAATGCCTGTATTATTTATCAATTAAAAATAAATATGAACAGTTTCCAATACCTATTTTATAATGATTAAGAAGTTCTCTTACAATGAAATATTAAACTAATCATAGAATAAATAGCACAGAAATTCATAAACTATTTCTATAGTACTTAACGAAAATGTAAACTAAGTATTGACCTGACTATAAGACAGTCTGCTGATGTCCAATAGCAGTACAAATTAAAAGTTGATTAATTAATTGAATATTTCAATTGATTAATTTCATTTAGATAGCCTTTCTGCGATAATGTTAACAAAACTTGGTCACCATTTCCTTAAGTTTTAATAAAACGGCTATATACCTCTAATTTTAGAACTACATCATATTTTGCTATTAAAATTCTAAATAGGGCGTTAGCTAGTTGCCGTGCGCAATAGTATAGAAGTAAACTTCTATACTAAATAATTTATCGTGCCCACAGGTTACGTAAGCAGTTTCGCGCTATCAGCACAATGTCACTCCAAGGTCTGCCACCCTTGCCGAAGAGTTTGAGCGGCTTCGCCGACGGGGAGCCTGAGGTGCAAGACACGTCCACTGTTAGCGACAACCCGCCCACTGACCTTGACTCTCAACTGACGTACTTGAAGAAGGAAATGGTAAGTCTAGAATATTTCTCTTTTTTATGATTTTTGTATACATGAAGGTGTTGATCTTACATTATAAATCTTAGAGTTTAGATTTGAATTGAAATAGTATTGTTTAAAAGGAGTCTTCTTACAATGAAATTAAAAAATAGGATAAAAAACAAAATAGGTAATATGGCCTTCTATACTTACTTATAATTTTTTCGAGTCATGATTTGAAAAAAATAATCATTTTTGCTGGTAGAAAACTCCCTAATTTTAATTTTATTTTATACATTGTGCTGTAGTCAGATCCAGTCATCTGTTTACAGCAATAACTGCGTAAAATTATAAATTATCTAAAAATAATGTCATTCACACCAAAGCAAATTATGTGACTACATATTAAATATTATGTATAAACGAGTCGATCGGGTTTTTTTTAAATTACTTATCATCTTTTTAAATTTAGATTAATGGTAATTTTAAATTTAAATGAGATCGTTTATCACAGCTTTTAATAAATATATTAGTATGTATATATAGTTTATGTCTACTCGCCGTCTGTTTGTGTTTTACGAGTATGTTCTACACTTTGGAGCGCAACTTAAAAGTCAATAAGTCATGTCTGTATGTATCTGTATATATACATTCACTATCACTATCTTAGTCTCTAATCTCTTATTCAATCTGGATAATTTAAATTTGGGAATTCTGAGTTCCTCACTTAATATTACTGCTAAAATAACGAAAATGGTAGAAGAAACATTGATGGAAATCTTATCTAGATAGACTGTTAAACTTCCGACAAGACTCGAACCGGTATTCCGCAACAAACTGACCTGAGTTCGTATCCAGTGTACCTATTACAAGAGGCTTATTATTGCTTGCTACTTGTTAGCAAAATCTTTTTTAAACTTCATTGAGGGTTTTTTGGATTATTGTGATTATATTTTTGGATTATATATTATTGGATGACAATGGAATGGCACCCCCCCCCCCTCTGATGGTATACATTGGCCCCCAAGTCATTGGGGTGAAAATGGTATGCTAACCCCGCCTGCGCTAACGGGATACGCTGCAAGTCACTCTAATCTACCGTTTTATAAACTTTTTTTTGAATTGGGTACATTTTGCGAGTCTATATCACCGGGTAGTTGATTAGAACTATTTTATTTAATTCCGTTATCATTAGTATTCGTGCGATTATCAACATTTGAAGATTGACTATTATAATTATAGGTTCTACAATCATCCCTGTTAGTCATCAATTTCTAAGAAACATAAAAAAACATGCTAGCTATCGGCTTGTATCTTAAAACGCTGCATGCAAAAAATTATAAGCAAGTTCTCTTTAGTATGACGTATTTAATGATGTTTATTGTTATTTTGATTTCTGAACATTGACAGGCAAGCGTGAAGTTTATAGATTTATTTATACTATAAATTTACGTTGAATTGATCAAGCATGGTATTGCACAAAGCAGTGTTAATTATACTACGCTCTTTTGTTTATCAAGAAGCTATTATTTCTTTTCAGTTGAGGATTTATGGAGCTACAAAACTTGCCCGTTTACTTGTAACGAGTTTTACAACACCCGCTCGCGCCGACGTGTTTGAAATTTCATTAAAACCAGCCACTGACCGTAAAACCGTACACGGAAATGTTTAAAAATTATGTGGGGCCGTGCCTGTAACGCGCTGTAATATGTGCCCAGGTATACGCTGAACGCACGAATGACTGAATATTTACCTTAAAATTAATAAAACAGACTTTGTAGGTACATTAAATGCACAAGGTAAAACAGAACTCGTTAATAGTACGTAAAATTAAGAATCTAGATTCTAGATGGACATGGGCATGTCAAATATATTAGAATTCGAGATATATAAATTTCATGGTATACAAAAGATACAATACTAAATGAATATAAACAAAATAATAACTAGCCTGTAAAACTGCTTCCTTGACATGTTCCAACTAATTTTCCGAAGGAGCCACGGTGAAATACGTCAGCAATTACGGACGTCGTGTGATTTATTTGGATTGTTAAGCATGGCGACTACTAGCAAAACCTCCCAAGGGGAGGCCTACGTTCAGCAGTGGTCAATTAACGGCTTATAAGATGATGATGAATTGTTAAGTAACAACTGTAAAAGTATGGCACTTGAATCGATTCCGAGGTGTCATTCCCTAAACTTATCTCTAAAATTTTTTTATACCCCTGAGGTACCAAATAAGTATACGGCCCATCTGATGGTAAGCGGTTACCGTAGCCTATGAACACTTACAATACCAGAGCGTGGAGGGAAAGGGATTGTTAGTAATGGAGTTTGACAGCCCCATTGCTAGCAATATGCAATGTATCTATTTTAATCAGGTGTGGTTTTATTTATCACCGATCTAATTGTAATCAGATAAAAATATTTCTCAAAACGACTGATTTTTTGATTTAGGTTAATTTTTCACAGTTAAATTTGAACTTAGTTTCAGTTCTTTTAATAATAATTATTTATTTGCTCGAAATGTGGTACTAATTGGTCTTAATAATTATTGTGCTATACATTTCGCTTTATCTAAAGGCATGCAAATTTTTATTTCAGCACATGCTAATTACTTTTTAGTGGCTTATATATATTAATAGCCTAGTAGGAGTCAATCCATAAATATTGACAGTCACACACATACCAAAGGTAGCAGAACTAAACAAATACAAATATAAACTAAACAAAAACAAATATATAACAAGTCAAAAACATAACAAATGGCATATAATACAACAGAATTATACGTTTACATACATACATATAAATTATATATATTATAAATTATATGTATGTATGTATGTATGTATGTAAAAAAATTTATAATGTATGTATATATTATAAATTTTTTTTAAAAAGTAATTTATTAAATAACAATTGCATTCCAGTAACCGTTTTTTTAACCGCTATTGGTATTTTATAATATGTTTTAATAGTCATTATATCACAGTTTTGTTGATGCAGTGTGGTTCTGCAGATGGGCAGTTTCAACATTGTGGGATCTCTTGATGTGACTTTATTCATATTCGAAAGTTTATGTTATATATGTATATATATATATATATATATATATATATATATATATATATATATATATATATATATATATATATATATACATTCTTCTGCGCATATTATCATCATCATCATCATATCAGCAGTTATCTGTCCACTGCAAGCAATTATCTGAACATAGCCGTCCTCTATAGACTGCCATGAAGAACAAGGCCGTTCCTCATAGCAGTTTACCATTGCCAATAGTTGCCATGCTTGGCAGGCGGGTTGGCAACCGCAGTTTGGCTTTTGGTGATGTTTTAAGAGGTATATTTCTACGCATAACAAAATTGTAAAACCAACTTCAAGCAGCTATATTTTCGAAGTAATACAATATAGAACACTTGAAGAAAAACATATGTTCCTTTCTTAAATGGCGTTTGCACATCTGCAATTCCTGATATTACAGGTGCATATAGACGTGCCCATAACATCACCTGCATACTGGTTCGGTCTCTGCTATAAAAAATATCATTCTGTCTTAGTTTTGGTCCACCATAAGTCAAATCGTCAGAAGTACCATCAGAAAGAATAATTGAATCTCGAATCAATCCATAAAGGAATACAAACATTGTAGTGGTAGAAAATGTACATACCTATTCCCACTGTAATTTTCTCTATAACAATTTTACTTATGTAATCAAATTAACTGGTCGATATCAGTACGTGAGAGATATTTAAAGAAAATTGTCATGGGAGTCTTTATATGACCAGTAGAAGCCAAAATCATATTTTATTAGAAATTCTATTTTTTTATGTTTGTTCCGGCCTCACCTAAAAACTAATTTATGAAATTGAATGTAGTTTTCGCAGTTGTATTCCTGAAGATTTAACTTAAAATCTGAAAGATGTTTTATCTTAATATCATCATCTTACTACCCTGATCTCAATTATTATTTGTGGTCGGCGTCATATGTTTTTATCCATATTACAAAAATATTTGGCTTATAGTTTTACGACCGACCACCTGCCTGATGTCAACCCTCTTTGGTAATGTATTTGTTGGTGGTTTTCGCCACCTACAGTATATAATAATAATAATAATTTATTTCAAAATAAATGTTACATTTTAAATATAAGTAAAACCCTAAATAGTGCCTAAATAAATAAATCCTGTACTTTAGGATAAGCAGTGCTCTTCCCTATACGGCATAATGACACAAAATTATATAAAAAAGAAGAAAGAAAGACAGGTATGGAGGAAAGGATTGAGGAAAAAAAGGAAGAAAACGTTGGAAATGCGTAAAGAAAATTGATAATTAAGAGTAATAAGGGACTTATTTGTGAAAGGAATGGGGGGGGGGGGGACACTGCAGTTGCAGAAACGACTGGTTCACTGCAGCGGCTCGGGAAGTTGAGTCGCATACCTGTATGCTCTTATTCTAGAATCGGACAGATTTCTAGAGAAGGTCACCCCTGACACATGTTTTATTTTAATAGGCCATCTATTTCATTGGTTCTCCTAGTTAAATATTTCTGATATTCACTCGCTCGAAGTAGCGGGTAAAGAGCTAATCTTCTGTATAAATGTAGATAGTTATCTGCGTTCCAATCTAGTATGTCAAAAAAATCTGTTCACGGCAGGTCTATTTTACGTTATACGCTTTAAATTGTTTTGAGTGCGACTTCCAGAAACCGGCGTCTCGCTATCTGTTATTTTTGTTATTTTCTGACAAGATTTCGTGTCGGCCTGCGTAGCCACTCAACGTAAGCTCACTAATCGAAAATTTTCACGAGCTATGTAACGGTGTGTTCGTCAAATCAAAATATAGCCGTCTCTATCAAAATGACGCCATTTTTACATAGTTGTTTAAAAACAATAGAATAGATACTTTTTTTTTAATAAATTAAGTAGTGTAACAATTTTACGATATTAAACAAAAATCTATTATAAGTGACATATTATTATATCTAACTTATACTGAAGAGCGGGA